GTGCTTCCTTCATCCACCTGAGTGGTTTCAGATACAGATTTTGTTGTGCATGACCAGCACCTGTGGGATGTGGTCCTGTTGGTGTCCCATTTGTGTTTTTCCTCTTGGCCAGCAGCAGTCAGGGGTGGATCCTGTGCCTGCCTTGGATCCCAGTGCTCCCAGTGGATCCCATCTCTTGGCAAAGCCCTGCAGCCCCCACTGCTCAGGGGTCTAACGGGGGAGGAGGGATGGGGCTGTGGTGAGTTATTATCCCACACTTATCAGCATTAAACTGGATTTGGCAACTCATAGCCTGGGATTTGAATTATCCAAATCCTTCCTTTGGCAGCCTGGTTTGCTGTTATTTATGGTGCTTCCCAGTTTGTTATCATCTGCATTTCGAGGCTTTGTGTGTGGTGCTGTCCCCCCGAGTGATCTGTACAGATAACAAAGAGAGCAGGGTGTCTGCAGCACTGAGCCCCTCACAGCCTTCCTGGGTTAGTGGTGGCCTTGGCAGTGCTGGGGGAATGGTTGGATTTGATTTTAGAGGGCTTTTCCCAACTATATCCTCTAAAGCTGAATAAGGCTGTGATTTGGTGCAGTCACAGACCTGGTTCTGCCTTCCCACCCCAAAGGAGCCCTGTTCCCCAGAAAGCAGAGGGAGGGTGGGGGTGAGCCCAGGGCTGTCCCTGCCCCGTGCAGTGGCTGTCCTGCTGTCACAGGGGTGTTGTCCTGTGTGAACTGGGGCCATGTGCTCCTGGCACCATTGTTGGCACGTGTGGTGTCCCATGGGCTCCCTGCCAGGACAGAGCCACTCTGTGTGGAGCTGCTGCTGAAGCTGTGGCAGATGGGATGTGCCAGGAGCAGGGATGAGGTGCTGGAATGCTCTGGAAGGGAAGGATGCCATGCCTGGGGGGCTCCAGGAGCAGGGATGAGGTGCTGGAATGCTCTGGAAGGGAAGGATGCCATGCCTGGGAGGCTCCAGGAGCAGGGATGTGACTCTGCCCTGGTGAGAAGGAGAGGGGTGTCGGTGTGGGCAGCTCCCTCTCCACATCGAGCTGCTCTGGATCCGGGTCCAGCACCGACTGTATCTTCCCTGGGTTATCTTCTTTCTTTTTAATGACAGATTGATTCCCCTTCCTGGCGAGAGAGCGTGCCTTCTTCCACACTGGGTGAGGGGGAGGGGGGTGTGTGGTAAATTTCCCATTTTTCTGATAAAACTGTATCGTTACAGCGGAAATCAAATCCCATCTTCGATATTTTTAGCATGAGAGTGTGAAGGCACAGTGATGCCGAGGGAAGGGAGGATGGGAGGGGAGGGAGGACGATGGGCTGAGTCTCCATGGAAACTGTTTGCTTTAAATTCCCGCATTGGGGCACTGAGCATGTAGGAGGTGATGAAGGAAATGAAAAGCAAAAAAAAGAGGGAAGGTTTTTTCCTTTCTGTTGTCACAAAACTGCTGGAGGAACCTTAGGAGAAATGGGCATAAATTATTGATCACCTGAGCACGAATCTATGTGCATTTTCATTAATAACCCCCTGTCATGTCTCTCGAGGGCAGAAGGTGGGTGTGCAGCAGCCATGAGTGACCTTTTTGTGCTATTTTGAGCCCAGGTTTGTTCAGAGACACTTTGGGCAGAGCTGGTGCTGCTTTGTGCTCCTGAACTGCCCCTTCCATCGACTGCCCCTGTTCCCCTCTGGGTGCTGTCCTGTGCYGTGCCAGGCTGCTCCTACTGACAGCAGGGAAAAGAGCCAGAGCCAGGACCAGCAGTGCTGCGATTGGGGCTTCTGTCAGCTGGGGTGCATTTGGGCTCGGGTTGGATGCTCCTGCTTAGAAGAGATTTTGTAATATTTAGGGCGTTTTTTTAACATATGAAAGGTGTTGTCAGCCAGGCTGTGTTGTTATCCTGGTCTGAAGTCCTGGTGTGAGCAAACAGAAGGTGTGGGGGGATCTGTGGATCTGAAAACCCTTCCCCTTTGGGTGCAGTGGAAATGGTGGCAGAAGGGCTCTGTGGTGCCCATCCCTGGTGTTTCAGAGCACAGCCCTGCTCACATGGTGATGCGTTAGATCATGTCTGAAAAATGTCTCACTGCAGCACACAAAGTTATTTTTAATTCATTGAAAAGGGAATAACCTAAAACTRGCAGCTGGTGATGGAGAGGAGTAAATAGGGCAAAACAGGTACATTTTCAGACATGATCTAACACAAGTGGATCAAGTGTTGTTTTGGGGAGCCCATGGCTGTGTGAGGGGCTCTGAGGTGCCTTTTCTGGGTGATGCTGCAGCATGGGGTGTGTGTTTTGTGGATGCTGTCTGGGCTGGCAGCCTGGAACACAAACCCTCAGTGGTGCTCCCAGCAGCTCCAGCAGCCTGGCCCATTGTTGCATTTTGTCTTTTCTCATCTGCTGAGGWAACTTTCTGGTCTGTGTCTGAGGGATTAAACCTGTGGGAGGGACAGGGGACAGTTGGGGTT